GCCAACTCTCCTGACCTGAACCCCATAGAGAACCTGTGGGATATTGTGAAGAGAAAGTTGACAGACACAAGACCCAACACTCTGGATGAGCTTAAGGCCACTATCGAAGCATCCTGGGCCTCCATAACACCTCAGCAGTGCCACAGGCTGATTGCCTCCATGCCACGCCGCATTGAAGCAGTCATTCATGCAAAAGGATTCCCGACCAAGTATTGAGTGCATAACTGAACATGATTATTTCAAGGTTGGCGTTTTTTGTATTAAAAACACTTGTCTTTCATTGGTGGGATGAAATATGCTAATTTTTTGGGACAGGCATTTTGGGTTTTCATGAGCTGTATGCCATAATCATCAGTATTAAAACAATTAAAGACCTGAACTATTTCAGTTGGTGTGCAATGAATCTGAAATATATGAAAGTTTCATTTTTATCATTACATTATGGAAAATAATGACCTTTATCACAATATGCTAATTTTTTTAGAAGGACCTGTACACATATAAAAGACATCAGCACGACGGCTCAGAAGTTAGCACTGTTGCCTCACAGCAAGAAGGTCCTGGGTTCAATCTCCAGGTGGACCTGGGGTCTTTCTGTGTGGAGTTTGCATGTTCTTCTCGTGCTTGCGTGGGTTTTCTCCGGACACTCCGGTTTCCTCCCACAGATCAAAAACATGCAAGTTAGTCTGCCTTCAGGGCCAGTCCTCCCTTGCAAAAGAGATCTGTGATCTCAATGGGATTTGCCTGGTTAAATAAAGGTTAAATAAAAAATAAATAAACAAACATTAAAAAGACACTTAGGGAGACATTATTAGTAAGACATCAAAAGGACACAAAATGGAACATTAAAAAGAAGACATCAAAAGGAGAACAAGTGCGATATCAAAAGGAACGATCTAAAGCAGTGGACTCCAACCTTTATTGCTCCACGGACCGGTTTGATGTCAGACAATATTTTCACAGAGTGGTTTGGGGGTCCTCCCCAACAGAATTTTGAATAAAGTAGATGCCATTTCTTGCATTCTGGTGTATTTTACAAACATTTCAAACATTTTTCACTTCAAATCCTCTGGCTGCATGACAAACAGCTTCATGAGCAGAGATCATCATCCGTTTTATCAGTTCGGTGAAAGTTCAGAAAACTCCTGCAGTGATTCACACATCAGATTGTTCACAAAAGCACAGGAACTTATGCCTAGTGCAAAACGTTCAATTATATTTTTGTGTTTTATAATAAAATTACCCATGACTTTGAACTTTTAGGGGCAGAGATTTTTTTGAGCAGAAGCAAAAATATGAAGCGACAGCTGTGATGTGATATTAGGAAGCCTGTTAAAATTATAGTTTTATTTTATATAGGTTTATAGTCAATTTTTGTCAGGCAGGTTGAAAAATATGCAGTGTAATCCTTCAAAATGCACAGATACAGCTGCGCACCTCCGCCTGTCTGCTCCAGACTACGTAGCTGAATTGCTTTGTTCAGAATCAGAATCAGAATCAGTTTATTATTGCCATGTCAATGAACGAGGTTCACAAACTAGGAATTTGCTTTGACATAAGGTGTGAATAGTAATAAAGTAAAATAAAGTAAAAATAAAGTAAAAATGAAGTAAAAATGAGAACATTACATAAGACATAAGACCTGTGTACACCCACAAATAAAGTAAAATTAAAAACATAACATAAACATGTGTACACCCATACAATAGAAAACAATAAAAAAGCTTAGAAAACAGTACAGATGGAGTATTCAATTATAATACAGATGTAATGTGACCAAAGCAGAAATTATGAGGTAACGTTATGAGTGTTCAGGAGTCCAACAGCAGAGGGGAAGAAACTGTTCTTATGGCGGGAGGTTCTGGTCCGAATGGACCAAAGCCTCCTGCCTGAGGGGAGTGGTTCAAACAGACCGTGTGCAGGGTGAGCAGTGTTCACCAGTAATGTAGAACTGATCTGCGCATGCGCCTAGCAGAAACTGAAACTAACCACTACGTTGACCTGCGTCAAGAGTGAGTCATAGACTGATGTGGTAGAGAGAATCTGGCGATTTTTCAAAATAAAGCTTTTTTTCCCTTTCTGTGCAGCCCGGTACCCATTGACCGGTCCGTGGCTCAGGGGTTGAAGACCACTGGTCTAAAGGACACAAAAAAGGAGCGATAGGAAGGACATAAAGGGAAGACATCCAAAGGAGGATATTAGAAGGACAGAAAAAATATGTCAAAAGGAAACCTAGGAAGACATTAAAAGGACACATCAAAAATAAAATATCAAAAGGGAGACATCAGATTACACAAACGGCAACAAAAGGAGACAAGGAAACTAGAAAATGTAAAAATTACATAAAGAGGCACAATAAAGACACACAATGAAACAAAAAAAGACGTAGAAGACATAAAGATGCATAAGGAGACAAGAAAGTCTAAAAAGACAGATAAAGCCAGTACTCTGAAGTATTTTCAGAGAACAAAGTGTTTGAAAGATTTATATAAATATTTATGCAATAAAATTAAATGAAATTCAATCATTCAAAAAGTACAATAGCTACAAACACCAGAACTTATAGCCCTAATGTCCTGAACAAGCTGAACGTTTTGATACATGAACGTTAAAATACCGTAGTTCATATTATTCTGAAGTAGTTAAACTTCAGGATATGTACAGAAAACTGTAAACCTTAATAAAAATGCTTTTAGTGCTGACTAAGCACTTGCACTGCTAATAACACAGTACTGTTGAAAGGTCTTTATTTATTTATTTTTTACCTTGGCCAGTCTGTCTCTCAGAGCCTGTCTCACTGCCCTTTCAGTGTGGCCCTCAGTGGACAACCAGGCCTGCTTGGCTTCAGCTCTGGATAACTGAAGTACACTTTTAACATCTGACGAGTCGGCTTTTTCTCCTCCATCACCAGGTGGGTCTTCTTTTGACACGTTCTGCAGTAGATGAGAATTTATCAACAACAAAAGACACAACAGAGTGTGACATGCATACATGAATGTTTTAAATGTGCACTAAAAGAAGTGTACTGACAGCTAATGCCTTGTCAGAAACACACTGAAGGAAGGATGTTGCCACCAGCATCCTGATCTGGTCTAAGATTAGAAGGAGATCTGTCTTCATCCAGCTGCAGGACAATGCGCTACTCTCCCCAGTAACCCTCATGCTCGTGAAGACCTCCTCTGGACTCAGGCCTTTCTTCTCCCCGACCTGACGCAGACAAACGGGACAAAATAAATCACACACCGTTGCTGTATGTTTATATGAAGAGATCAACACGTCATGAAGGTGACTTGCTCTTATGAGCTGAATCAACTTCAGTCCATCCTCCTTCATCAAATTCTGCCTCTGGGAGTCCAGGTTCTTAGGAGCCAGTTCTTTGGGTTTGACGGGCAGAGCAGGGACCCGTCTGACAGGTGAGGGGGGGTGGAGCTTGACTGGGAGGGGTGCAGGCTCCGGACGAGCCAGGTCACACATTTCACACGTTGTAGCCGGAGAGTAATTTAAATAGGTGCAAAACTGACAAACCCACTGAAACAGGAAGACAAGCAAATACGGACAGTTACAAATAAAACTAAAGTTCAAACAATCCTGTTGGTCCTAAAGGAGAACAAATAAAAACAAAACAACAAACACTTAAGCTGAATTTTTTTTTAGTACAAAGTATATTAAATCAATATGCCAAACTTTTGGTACCAAAACGTAATACGCAGGTTTGTACCAGGATCCTGAAAGTACCCAATAGGTACCTGGATGTATTATGTTACCAAGACTTCATGTGCAAAATCATTTCACATTTCATGCTTTAGTCGTATATGAAAAAAACAAAAAAAAACAATAAGTATATAACGAACTAATTTATTTTAGAAAACTACAATATCAGATTCACATTGAATACAGTTCCAACAAATATATCAAACTGGAGATTAAAATTTATAATTCAGCCATTACAAATAAAAATGTTTCTTTGATCTCGCTGGTGAATATTCTCAGTCATCAACTTGGTAAATTCAAAAAAGTTCAAGACTAAAACAACTGGACTTTATTTGTAACAGAAGATGTTTCACTTCTCATCAGAGGAGCTTTCTCAATTCAAAGAGCAGAGTGTTCGAGTTATAAAGCTGAACTAAGCTAGATACATGTGCAGACTGCCCTATCACTCCTCACAATAGGCCTACACAATAGACCATAACGAACCTCTATTGTGAGGACTGATGGGGCATTCTGCACATGTATCTAGCTTAGCTCAGCTTTATAAGGCCCTATTTACACGGACACGATGGGGGGAAACGTAGGTTTTTTTGTATGTTAATTAGAGGAAAAGATTTGCGTTGACACAGTCGGATTTTGGGTTTACATGCATCTGGAGGATTCCCCCCCACCCTCCCGAATCCGCTGTAGTTACCATGCCGGGTCATTAGATGGCGCTGTGAATTTTGTACCTTCACCTAATGTGCATGCATGCTGCCTCGGCACACTGTTTTCCTCTAGGCTAAAAGCTCAGCTAACAACAACGTAACAACAAGCTAAGCTGGATTCTGGCTGGATTTTGGATAAGAGTCGACAGATTTGACGCCAAGCGGGACGGCTTCGTCTAACAGCTCCACACCGGTCGCTGAGTGAATCAGAACAGAGTCGACAATGTCGGACTTTATTCCGTGATAAACAGTAGCCAATTTACTGCAGGTAAATCAAATGTTCTTAATAATGTTTGCTTGTGTTTACTTCGGTTACAAAACAACCAACTGAGTTCTGTTTCGTATAGGCTTCGCCCTTTAAGGCTGTCGCTGGTGGGTTTATCCCAGCATGCAAAGCATCGCACTGAAAAAATTTAGTCCACGCCCACCAGTTGTGTGGGCCCCACCCGGTCCATATAAATTATGTTAAGAGTGGGTAATCAGCTCCCATTTTTTCTTCAGCAAGCTAATAGCACTGTCAGAAGAACGAAGAATGAAGGTTGTCCAGCTTGACCGGCACAACCTTTGTTAAGGCTGCCTGGGTCCCCACCACGCCAACCTCCTGACGTTCCAGTGAGTTCTTCCTCCCCGAAGAGAAGCAGACGAGCAGCCTTGTTTCAAGGTAAGCGCCGAGGAATATTTTTTCAGTGGCGGGTCGCTACCCGCTGGACGACGAGTGGTCGCGTTCAACCAGGGGTGTGGTGCCCGCTTTGGTCGTCTGATTTTTAGCGGGGGCCACAAGGTCTAAAATCTTAGAGCAGGTCACATCATGCCTACTGAGCAGCTCCTGCGTACTAATACAGGCAGAGGTTTCAGGGACTGAAGCAGCATCAGTAATGAATGCAGAGGAAAAAAGAGCAGCGGTTGAAGAGTTAAATATCCGACAACTCTTGGCTGGAGCGGTGGATTTAGACTCATGAATAACAGAGGTTTCGAATGAAATGGGTTTGTGATCTGAAACAATAGCATCCCCAATTTCCAGATTAACCACAGACAATTCGTGAGACAGAACTAAATCAAGTGTATGGCCCTGTTGATGAGTTGGACCAACAACATTTTGCACAAGGTTGAAAGATTGGATCAGATTTAGAAACTCCTGCACCAAAGGCTTTTCAGGACAGCAAACGTGTACATTAAAGTCTCCCAGAATCAAGACCCTGTCGTAATTGAGCAGTATTCCAGTCAGAAAGTCAGAAAATTCACTTGTGAAGTTTTTGTTGTACGAGGGTGGTCTGTAGATCAGGCTACACAGTGTTGGGTTGGAGCGGCCCAGCTCAAAGTACAGCAGTTCAAAACTCTGAAAAGCTACAGCCTGTAGCTGTCTACAGTTCCAGAGCTTTTTAAAAACTGTTAATAATCCACCACCTCTACCAGAAGTCCTTGGAGCATTAAAAAGGCACAATCCACCAGCAAAAGTTCAGAAAAAACACTTAACTCACCAGGGGCGAGCCAGGTCTCTGAAACAAACATGAAGTCCAATCCATTGGAGCAGAAAAAGTCATTTAAGATGAAGGTTTTATTTGCCAGCGACCTCACATTCAGCAGAGCAATCTTTGTAGGACCAGTAGCTGAAGGAAAAGCTGAGCACGGAGCCCAGATCAGCTGTTTCAGATTTTTGGAGTTTGAAGCGTGCCTCCAAGGACCAGAGACACCGCAGCTGTGCGCGCGCCCGTGGTGCGAGCCTGTCTCGACTACGGGGATCAGGCAGGAGCCAGTAGGATCAGCGAAGCACCCGGACAGGCGAATATGCAGCAGATGGTCAGTAGGAGATGATGCAGCAGACAGTCCGGAGTTGGTTAAGTTCCACTGGAGACGACCAAAACCGCCGCGGCTGTGTGCGTGCCCGCTGCATGTACCAGGCCCGGCCACCTGTAGCAGGCTGGAGTTGAGTGGATCAGCGAAGCATCCGGATGGACAGTTTAACATCTGATGGTCAGCAGCAGATGACAAAGCAGCAGAGAGCTTGAAGCTGGCTTTAATCCTCATGAGACGGCTGGTACATCTTCCACGGCGCCTGGAGCGATGTTTTCGGGAAGGCAGAAATGCTGCACGCTGCAGGTAAACAGGGACATCAACAAGCAGAGGGGGTGGGGGTCCAGAGCCCCGATCAAAGTGGTTGAACAAGGCGGGGTTTGCAATAGATAACTGTATATTTAAAAGTTGTTGGCGATCATAAACAAGCAGTGAGTTGATGTCACCGAAGAAAAATGACAAAAACAGAAAAAACCTATCAAAACAGACAGAGGTGAACAGCAAGCCACCAGCACCGGCGCCATTTTCCCCGCACAGGGTTCTACTCTCGTCACTTCCTGGTCCCAAAACGGACCGGAGGGATGAGACCCATCTTAGATTTGTCAATTTTCAACTGTGAGACAACATTCCATTCAAAATGTGTCGAGTCGGCTCTGTAGCCGCTACACAGAGCAGGGATGAGAATTCTGTTTTATCTGGATGATCTGTTGTTGCTGACCCGTTTTCCAGACAGGTGGCAGCAGTGCAACTCAGGCGCTGACGTCACACCTGCAAAATCTGGGCTTCACCATAACAGGGGGAAGAGTTCGGTTCACCCGGCCCAGACGATCGGTTATCTGGGAGTGAAGCTAAACCCGGTCACTACGAGGGCTCGTTTATCTCAGACAGGAACCGAAGCTCTAAAGACCAGCTGCTCCACGTGAAGCCGGCAGAGTGATAGCTGTTTTCCGTCATGAAGTTATTAAGGACATGTCATCTGCTCACACGGCACAACGCCTCCAGAGGTGGTTAGCTCATTTGCATGTGGACCCGGTGAGCCAGAAGAGATGGTTGATCGCTGTGCCCCCTCCATAAGAATTGACCTGAGACACTGGGAAACCCTCTTGTTCTGTCGGAGGGAGTCCCTGTCAGCAGACCTACGTCACATGTGTCATTCTTCACAGACGCGTCCCTGTCAGGCTGGGGAGGCACATGCATGTCTTGAGCTGTGGGGGCGCTGTGGCCACCCTAAACAGCTGCTCATATAAATGTTTTGGAGTGTTGCACGGTTTTGAATGTGATTCAACATTTTGCTCCTGTGTTGCGGAATCAACATGTGTTGATTCACACAGACAACAAGTGACTACAGCATACATAAACCGGCAGGGGGGGGGGGGGGGGTGCTCAGCCCAAATGTTACACATTGCGGGACAGATGCTGTGTTGGGCACACCAAAATCTGCTCTCCATCAGAGCAGTGTATATCCCCGGTGTTCTGAACAGAAGGGCGGATGTGATGTCCAGGGGCGGTCCGCGTCACAGGGACTGGAGCCTCTATCCCGAGCTGATGACTCAGACGTGTCAGAAATTTGGCAGCGTGACCGTGGGCTTGTTTGACACACGAGAGAACGCTCAGTGTCAACTATGGTTCTCACTGAGCCCACAGGACGAACCACCACTAGGGCATGACGCGCTTGCTCACAGCCCGTGGCCCAAATTGCTTCTTTACGCATTTCCCCACTCCCTCTGATATCACGGTTTCTGAACTGAGTTAGGGAGGAGGGACTGACAGACCTCCTGGTGGCTCCAGAGCATGTGAACACCCCGTGGTTCCGAATTCTACGACGCCTGTTATCGGGGCACCCGTGGAAACTTCCGTGGAGGGAGAATGCTCTCCTCCAGGTGGGAGGAACGATCAGGAGTTACCCAGAAATAGGCCAGCACCTTTGGGTCTGGCCGCTGAGCGGATCCGTTTTAGAGAGGATGGGTATCTCTCAAGATGTGGTGCGCACGATCCAGGTTTCACGTGCTACCTCCACCACAGCGCTGTACACATGAAAGTGGACAGCTTTTTCAGCGCTGGTGTATGGAGAAAGGTGTAGAGGCTACCTCATGTTCACTAGGTGGCGTGCTGTCTTTTCTGCAGCAGTTGATGGACAGAAATCTGGCGTTCAGCACGATTAAAATGTACGTTGCAGCCATCTCTTCTTGTCACGAAGGTTTCGGGGACATAACAGTTCTTAATCATCTGCTGATGAAGCGTTTTTTTAAAAAGGTGTACAGAGGCGCAGGCCTGTATCACGCACACTTTCTCCACAGTG